TCCCCCCCCCCCCCCAACCGATTCAGCTGGATTAGCCGGGAACCGATTGAAAATTTCCGAACGATAATCGAATTAGTCCCATCGCTAGCCGGTCCGTACACATTATGAAAGCGCGGCGAGATTACGTGCGAGCGCGCGCCCCCACCGTGCGACGAGGAGGGCGCCACTGGTGCGAGAGAGGGTGAGCAGAACAAGCGAGAAACACGAAGGGAGAGAGAGTTAATACCGATGGAAACCTATTACCATCTATCTCAATGCCGGTGTAATGGATGTGCAGCCCCGATTATCAATCCGTAATAATTGTGCATATTAAACGGACGCTAATTATCGGCCCGGCCGCGGGCCGTGGGCCACGGGCATCGCCGGCAAATTGCGCAAGTTATGCCGGGTGTGTACACTGTTAAAACACGACGCGTAATGACGGTCGCGGAAAAGAGCCGTGCCGAAAAGATAATTACGCTGGAAATCACTCGCTGACCGAATAATATAACACGCATTGCCCTCACGCGGCCGTGTATTCCAGTCATCCAACGCGACGAGCGGAGTGGGGGAAGTTTTATAAAACGCTCCGACGTATTAATTAACGATCGTTATCGACCGAGCCCACGCGTCCACCGTGCGTAGTTCTAGCGCTACGGCATTAGATGTCGTACCATTGTTTTATTACGCTCGACGCTCCGTGCTGTTGAACTATCATAGGTTAATATAACTTTTGGTAATACTTGTAATATTAGTCGGGATAAAATTGTGCTGCATAGTACCAGTTTATGGAAAAATTACGACGAGTATTAACCGAAGAAAAATCGTTATTAAATCGTCCGAGATAGAATACCGATCGACTAGCTTCGCGAACTGCTTCCCCCTCTACGTCCACGCGGCATCCCCACCACTCCAGAGACATCGCGAGTCCCTTGATGCGTATCCAGAGTGCACGACAGTTTCCGAAAATCGTTTTACCCAAGCAGGCAGAAATTCTTGCCAACGATCGATCGCGGAACGATCCTCCAGGTCACTCGAGAGATCGGAAGCGGAACGCGGGAACACGATGACCCCCCAAGCGGTCTCTGGAGTCTTTTTTGCCAGCCCGGGAGCGCTTTTAATAAACGCGCGCCGCGCCCAGCAGTCGCTTTATGCTATCAAAGGTGGGGTAAAGGGCGCGCGTAGAGGAGGAAGAGAGGGGGAAAGAGACGGAAAGAGAAAGAAGAGAGGCAGAGTGGATAACGGCAGAGAAGAACGGGGGTGCATTTGACGACGAGCTTTTTACGGCCCTGTGTTCCGGTGTTCAGGCTTTTACGTCCATTTCAGGTTTCCTTCTCTTCCACCGGCTGATCCGCAACCTTCTCTTTCTTCTCGCGCTCTCTCCCCCTTTCGCTCCCTCCATCTCTCTCTACGTCCCTTCGTCTCGCTCTATGCATCCTTCTCGCTCTCCATTACGCCAGCTTCTTCTTTCGTTTCGCAGCCAGCTGATTTTATTTGCTCCCCCCACCACAGTGGTATTCTCTTTCAACTGCGTGCTGCGCGAACCACACACCAGCAGCGCCGTTCTAATTTCTTTTACGAGATGAAATTCGACACGGCCTGAGTCGTTCTTCTCCCGGTAGAATGCGCCACTTCCGCTCGTCGCCCCGATTCCATCGGTCAATCCTGGCCCGGTACGGTACAACCTAACCTCGATCGAGGTGTGAGAGGCTCGCTCGGTTATACGCCACGCGACCCATAAAGCCCTCCCCCCCCCCCTCTCCCCGCCCCCTCCCTGCCTAAAATTCGATCGAGCGTCGTTCGTTCGCAGATTGTAATTGCGAATCTGTTTAATTCCCCGATTCCCACCGAACTGAATACCCGCGCGAGAATAAATTCATAGATTCGTTTGTTTTAACGAACCGCTCCGATAGAGGGTGCGGCGGTAGCGTCCGGCGGAGATAGAACGAGCACGCACGCACCATGCCGCAGTGTAAATTGTTCATGAATTAGAAGCTGTATCGGTAAACGTGCGGCTGATCCGGAGTTATCGGGGCCAGGTTTTCTCGCGCGGTCGGTGGAATTTTAAACTTGCAAAACGCTCGTCGAGCAACTGTCATGGCTGACTCTCGTGTTCGACTCTGTTAGCCTCGGAGTCAATGGCGGACGATTTCGTTGCAGCCAATTAAAAATTAACAAACCCCGAACAGTGTTTCGCTCAACAATCCGGAAGAACAATTACAAATTGCTTTTCCAGGTTCAATTTCGATATTTCGCGTTTGAAAGCTTTTACAGGCTATGAAAAAACGATGCAACGATATATCGATGGTGGAGCCTTTTTAACCTCGTATTTTCCACAAAAATCACACCCCGAATTAATTCTAGGCACATGTCGTGCAATTTGAGGTTATGTCTACGAATCTCGAGAACAGTGTGCAGACGAAAAATTGGAAGATCTGACGAACGATTTTCGAAAGACAAAGATCCGAATTCTTGATTGAAAATTTGCAGAAATTCGCAGGAATTTGCAAAAATTCGTGGAAATTTGCAGAGATTCGCAGAAATTCGTAGAAATTTGCAAAAATTTGCAGAGATTAGCAGAGATTCGCAGAAATTCGTAGAAATTTGCAAAAATGCGTAAAAATTTGCAGAGATTTGCAGAAATTTGCAAAAGCTCGTAGGAAATTGCAAAAATTTGCAGAGATTCACAAGAATTTGCAAACATTCGTAGGAAATTTGCAGAGATTCGCAGAAATGCGCAAAAATTCGTAGGAAGTTGCAAAAATTTGCAGAGATTCGTAGAAGTTCGCAAAAATTCGTAGGAATTTGCAGAGATTGACAGAAATTTGCAGAGATTCGCAGTAATTCGTAAGAATTCTTCAAAAATTTGCAGAGATTAGCAGAGATTAGCAGAGATTCGCAGAAATGCGCAAAAATTCGTAGGAAATTGCAAAAATTTGCAGAGATTCGTAGAAGTTTGCAAAAATTCGTAGGAATTTGCAGAGATTGACAGAAATTTGCATAGATTCGCAGAAATTCGCAGAAATTTGCAAAAATTCACAGAAACTTGCAGAAATTTATAGAAATTCGTAGAAGTCTACCGAAATTTGCAGAGGTTCGCAGAAATTCGCAGAACGAGGGAAAGCTCGCGATTTGCCGTATCACGCGAGTGCAGTCGTGTCGTTTGAGCGGAAAACGCGTGGCGGAAATCGAAGTAGCAGGATGGCGGTCGGGATTAAACGCTATCAGTGCACGTGTTGCCTGTATTTACGCGGCGCGCTGCATCTCGGCAAGCGAATTTGTCGCGAGGAGAAGTTCATCGCCTTCTCCATGGGATTATCGTTTCAGTCGGCGTGGAAATTCGTCGTGTTCGCGGCGGATCGAAGCGAATCCCGACATCGTGTGCAACGATATTGCTATTTACGCGCGAACGCCGAGCCGAATAACCGTATTCGTTGTTAATAGACTGTTATCGATTGCCCATTGGCGAAACCGCGATTGCACCGTTCTCTATCGGCTAAATTGTTTGATACTCACATGCCTCTCCTCGGCCGGATTGAGACCTGCAACAGATGAAACGATGCTGTTAGATCGAATGCGAATCTCCTTCCAATTACATCATTTTTCCTCGTACAAACTTCTCTCCTGTCGTTTAATTACGACCCGCACTTGTTTACCCGCGATTAAACGACGGAGAGACGAAAGGTAAAAATAAGAGATACGTACTTGACGATGTTCGAGTGATCATAGTGATTAAACGTTATATCAGTTCGTGGCAATCGAGTGACAAACACGATAAAAATTAAGATTGGTAGATACGTGCTTTACGGCTGTCGAGTGAGCAAATCATATTTGCCTTATTGCAAAATTTGATTTCGATACTTATATATTAAATGCAACAATGCTGCAGACATACGTGTGTGCAAATAACAGATTACAGTATCCACGGATTAAATTAACGGGAAAAAAGTAAATAAAAGGTGAAAAGAGACTGCGAGAGTATTGCGAAATTCATAATCCAACGTTGCAGTCAACAAAAACAATACAGATCGAAAATACGAGTGCGTATGTACTCTGCGATACCCCGTTTTAGTTCGCAACGAACTCCGATAGATGGCGACACACGCTCCCCTCGCGGCGCGAGCGAGGCATCGACGGAGCAACGATTTTCTCGTACAGATCACCACCTAACCTATGACTAATGCCCAAGATTGACGGAAACGAGAGAAACAATTTATAGCAGCAATATTTCTCGAATAAATATCAATATTATTAAACGCGGAGATACGTGTCTATCGAATTTTATTATCCTCGTATATTTATTGTACACTGAGGTGACGACACGTCTCGAAGGTTAGAATCGCGTATTACAGGTTAGGTTTCACGGGGCAACGGGAAACATCGCAGAATAAATATTTAGACGCGGAATACGATACGCGAAAACAAGCCTCCGGAGAAGAATCTCCGTTCGCGGAATCCATATTCAACGCGGCTGAGCAGCGTCACGAAGCGTTTAATCAAGAACGTGTCGAGCAAACAGCACTGCTCAAGACGAACAACTCGTCTACACAGATATCAATGCTCGGTCTCGTAACCTCTCCAACTTAAAATCAGCAAACACCGACGTCCCACCACAGAGGCGCGGGGAAAAATGGCGATAAACAGGGCAATATCTGTAAAAACGACGTTATTAAATGACGACAGCAATCGCCATCGGAGCAGACCGACACGTCTGCTTAAACAGCTTCTAAAATTAATTACCAAGCCCGAGAACGTTCCTTCGAGAGCACTGCTCCGGCCCTCCGAATATATACCCGGCTCTTTTCTCCCCGGGGCACTTCAAACATCGCTGCATACCGGGGCTCAAGACATCGTATTTCCCGGGAAATTGAACCTTCACAATGTTTTTCATGATTATTGCGGAACTAACTCGAACGGAGTCAGCGGTATGCCGGCTGAATCTTTTCCGCGCCGGGGACGAGATAAAAGGAAAAAGCTGCCAGGACGAAAGAGGAGCCAGACTGCCTCTTCTCCTCGAGGATTTCCGAGAAGGGACGGCGAATGAAAGAAAAGAGGGCGAGAGAGGAGCAGGTCGAAGGCGATCCTGAACGAGGAAGCTTTGTCCTCGAGAAGCCGGCTTCATAGTTTGCTCTCGCTCCATTTCCCCAACCTCCTTTTCCTCTTTTCCGCTCTTTATACTTTTCGTAGGTACACTTTGTCTCGTAGGAAATACCTTAACGATACCATTCTTCGACTGTTGCTACCCACCCTACGGACACGGCTAAACACCCAGTCGTTTCAGCTTCTCCAACGCGCCCGCCATCGTTCAAACGAGCTCTCCTTGTCTTCGTCCTAATCTTTTTCTTCCTTTCTACCACGGACTGCAAAGTGCACGTTCCCAGGATTCCATGAGGATTTGAATAACGCGTGGATAGGCTGCGGTTCGTCCTGGCGTGCGGGCATGTTACTGGATCTAGGGACATGGCGATCGGCGGCGCGGAGGTGGCGCCGTCGGTGGCGCCACCATCGCTTGGCACTAGCGACTGCAGCTCGCGACAGATAGTGTCGGATAGATCTCTCGGTACTGCAAAACGGATCGTTGCGAACATACGGGGATGTTACTAAATCTAGGGGGGTTACTAGATCCACCGGTGGCGCCACCATCGCTTGGGCCTGGCGACTGCAGCTTTAGACCAATAGGATAGGACTGTTGATAGTTAACTTGAAGTGTAGTTTATCGGGAATTTATCGTGGCTGAAGACTGCTCGATATTTCGGACTCTAGAAAGAAGTTGAGGGTAACTTTGGATGTAATTCGGTGTTCGAGGTGCGTGTCGTGGCGGAAAAACCCATTTCGGATGATTCACGGCTCGAGTTCTTTATCTCTTTGAAATACAGTCCGTCGCGAAAGTATTCGAATGTTTGCGAATTTTTGACAAACGGAACGTGGGCTGAAATGATAGTGCACCTAAAGCAACGTATAAATCTTCGGTGTGCAGGAAATTATAAAAAATATTCGAGAAATAGAGAGCGTTTGAAAAATATCGAGTGGAAATGAACGATTAATTCCGTCTTTGATTAATAGCAAAAATGGTTCGACTCGCTATTAAAATTAACGCGAAAATTATTTTGCAAATACCGTAAAAGGTGCATTCACAATGTTCCACGTGTGATAGACTTCTCTAAATTTTTCAGACGGAAAATTATTTACAAAATTTAAATTCATAATAATGCATAATTCACTCGTTAAAAAATTAGATAGAAATTTTTCCTGCACGATTTATTTCTGAAAAATTCTGTAACCCCCATAAAGGTATCTTCACAACGTTTCACGTATGACAGATCTTTCCTAACTTTCAGACAATTTAAATTTTTCAGGCGGAATATTATTTTGAAAATTCGAGTTCAAGGTGCATAATTTATTCTTCGCACTCGGTTTATTTCGCAACCTTGATCTGTATGTCCGAGCAACTAACCTTTGTACTCCCGATAAGAGAACGAGAGAAAAAGATTTTGAAGTTGGTAGTCACATTATGGAATCGTTTACACAGGTTTAATTACGAGAGATCGTAATTACCAGTGATTAACTTCTTCCCTTTCAAACATCTTTTTTCAGTTCTATTAATATCGCGATAAGTGTCCGATGTTGAGTGATCACAGCGATTACGGTCTAATCAGAACCGTGACAAAAAGCGAATCATTTAGAGCGTAATCGGCACTTCCTTACCGATTTCCTTCTAATTGCTGAATCAAAAGCAACGTGATTAGCGTTACCTCACACGTGTTTGTCGCAGCATCCAGCTGCAACTGCGCGAACTTTGCAGCAAACGCGTTTTACATTCTCATAAGCAAGCCACGACCATCAATTCCTGTTTTGCCAAGTTACTTATCCGAGCATCTAATCGTTCAGCTCGATCTTTGAAATAACTCAACACGTAAGGTACTGGTTTTTTGCCTGGCTCGGCCATTAAGCATACTAGGCTCTTGCATCATTTTTGCTCTTTTTATTTCCCCGCAGCCATCTTGCTGCAACCGCTTTCTAGCTACCAAGTTAGTATATACCACTTGTTATATTCACTCTACCCGTTCTTGCTCCACCCGGGAACAGTCGAAGTGAGAAAAATACGCTGGCACGTTTAAAGAGACGAAATTCCTCTTACCACTTTAATATTTATAATCCAGCCGGGGGGAAAAAGCACCATCGATCGTTCACTTTCCAATAACGCGAGAATTTCAAAATCCGCCGCGATATCGATAAATAGAACAATGTTTAATATTCCGAAACACGAGCCGAATAAATGACGCCTCGTGCAAGGCATATCACCGTTCGGGAAATATTCCTCTGAAAACTCAGTTTCGCAGTTGCGAGAAATATTTATTCCGTATTAATTTGTAATTTTTATTTGTAAATAAAAGCAAAATAATAATAATAAAAAAAGAGAGGAATTAGCGAGAATTTGTTTTAGAAAATAAGCGGGAACGGAGCGGAGAGCATAGAGCAATGTACAAGAGCTAGTGGGCAGAGCAACAGTGAAGAATCCGTAAAGCGCAAAACACGAGCGCCGCGCGGTCAAAGAACGAATTAACGTTATGCCGGGAGCACTAAACGGTCGGCGGTATCGCGAGGAGCGACAAGAAATCCGGCGCGGCCAGCGTAACCCCAAGTGGATACGGTTTCTCAGGCGAGTAGACGGAAAAACCCGACGCCATAAAGTTTCCGGGGCGAGCGCGCCACCACTTGTACAAATAAAGTAATTCGTGGAGAGCCAGAGAGACCGGAGGTCTCTGTTGCGCGTTCTTGCGCGCCGATAAAACGTATCCGCGCGAGGGCGACTCTGTCGTGTGTTTTATGGTCGGGCAAATTAAGGAAAAGCCGTCGCGTACGGGCAAAAGGATCCACCCTTGGAGCCATTACCGAGTTGTCGGGGGTGGCGGAGCGCGAACAGAAAAGGGTCGTGAATTTTCTGCCGTGGACCGCATCCAACTTGGCTTTTCCGTCAAGAGGGACAAAAAACCGGCAGAGCGTTCGACCACGCTCGTCTGGCCCGCGAGCCCCGCTAATATTCCACCTCTCTCGCTCCGCCATTGCACCGGATTGCCCGTCGCGACCAGCCTGGGAAACAGTTTCAGCTCTTTCTCGGCCCCTTTCCCGCTCAACTTCCTGCCACGGCTCGTAATAAGAGCGCGCATAATTTCCTACTAAAACGCAAAGTGCTCGTTTGCCGCGCGAGAACACGTGCATCTTCGCGGGGATGTCCCCGAGATGGCGCGCGCGGCCGCCTTCGCGCGATCATTACGCCGCGGGCGGCAAGTATCAGCGACCGACGGCAGGGGAATCGTTACGAAACCGAGAATACGATGGGCACAGCGGTGAGGGAGCGAGCGGGGTGGGGGAAGGTTGCGAGTAACGGTGAAACGGTTTATTAGCGGACCGAGGGGGATCGGTAGGCGAGTAGTCCCGCCAGCCCTGTTGGAATTCAATTTGCGCGCAGATTCGACCGGTTCCGGCGCATTGTCTCCGCGAATTACGCGACGATTACGTTTACGTAATTTATCGACGATCG